CAACCAACACGATGGGATGTGAATTTAGACACAAAGTGGGTTAAAACTGGCGCCACTTCAACGGACTTCTGCAGCAAATTCTGCTTTTGCGTTCCTCCGTTCCATCGCAAACTGTCAAATTATTGCAATTATTTCCGCTCAGTCATTTCTGATTTGCCGTAAATTTTAATAGCATAAAATACAGATACTTATAAAGCTATATGTGGAATTTCAGCTTGATTTATCAACTAATTTCAGATTTATTTATTTTTTTACAATTGCTTGTCGACCCACTTTTCAGCATTGAAATTTGAATATCTCTATAAAAGGTAACAGACTGGAATTAACACTGTTATTTCTCATCATGGCATTGATCCAGAATCTGTAATATTGGGCAAGTAGATCAAATAATCTCCAGCTATGATTATGAGTGAGTTGAACTATTTTTAAAAATTCAAAGTTGTCATGAAAAATCCCATTGTTGCCCACACATGAACAAAAAATAGATAAAGCAGGAGTCGATATTGTGATATTTTGGGAACCATATGTGGCTGCATGTCACAACAATACAAAATTAACATATAACGGTATTTTCGTTTAGTTGTTGATTGAGCAGCTATCACAGAGATATTATTGTACACATGTAGCCTCAAAGTGACAAAAAACATACTGAAATTTGGTCAACAGGCGACTGAAGACATTTTTTAAATGTTAAAATTGCTGTAATTGTTCATAGTTTGTGATAAAGAATTAAAAAATCAAACAAACCAGGTCAAGCAGAAGGCCCCTGATGATTTAAGTCATAGTTTAAAGAAAAAGCCTTAATTGTATAACATGTGGCTGTAAAGTCAGAGGAGCCACTGACTACTTTTACTTTTGATACCACAAGTACAAAACGGTATTTTTCTAACAGTAAGTGGAAACATGTGTTTTAGTGATGTGGAATGAAATGACCCTTTAACACACATCTCAGATCCACTCTTTTGTTCTGTTTTGTCAGTTTTTCATTGTCTAAACGTTCCCACGTGTGATTTAAGGAGGGAGGGGAGCCGCAGCCGCTGCCAGAGGTGGAGTCCGATCGGCATCACATCATCGCTGCGATGATATCATGTCATCGCTTTATTATTCCCGCTCTGCTCCGCTGCTATTTGGTTGCTATGTTGCCGTCCGGCCCTGCTTTACAACAGCTCTCCTCCTAAATCCACGCGTTCCATTATTATTCTGAGCTTAAGACGACAAGAAAAATAAAAGCTCTAACAAATCTCCCCACAACGCAGCACTTATACAATGCTCTTTACATCGCGCAAACACAAATCCCCACGTCTCCCAAAAACAATTTCATAAATAGATTCGGAGGTGAAATTAAGCCGAGAGGAACAGAAAATGAAACACTCGCAGCTTAGTGTAGTTTCTGTAGAAATAACAAGCGTCGAGCGTCGTGTTTGGACGGCAGCCACACTGTAGCGCCGCCGCCGAGGGACCGCTAAAGCGCCGGGACTCTGTTTACGTTAGACTCCACGGGGATGTTTCAGGGTGTACGGTTTACATATCAAGAAACGAGGACGAAACCGAGGTATTTATTGCATCCAGATGTCTGAGGTTCTGTTGCGCTGAGCGTTTTTCCGGCCTTCGTCTCTTTAGCGAAGTGTCACGGTTTGATCCGTCTGGAAAAAACCTCTGCTGCTGCTGCATAAGAAAGTGTTGGAAAGAAGAATGAGATCTGCTGATACGAGGAAACACGCCTTCACAGGGAAACATTCATAAGCAAAGACGCACAAATGTCATCTATTCTGTGTCGCTGGATTATTGGCAGGAAAAGCTAAAGTTGGAGGTTCACCAGATGAATCTGTTGTGAGATAATTAATGGAAATGAATGATAATTAATTCTCCAGTTAAACGGATAATCGTGCCAATGGCATCGTCGTGCAGCTACAAAGACAATCTCTGATCTCAGTTTCTCTCTTTCTATCATTCAAAGCGTTTTCCTAACAAATCATCTTTTTTTTTGGTTGACAGATTACATAACATTAATATTTATTTTATTTATACAGCAAGTTTCTAAAAACAAGGTTTCATCGCTGCTGCACGAAGCAGATGTTAAAATACGAGTGATCAAACCAAGCGGTGTAACGACCAAATGTATCCAGAACAATGCAAAGGATTAAAACAACCAACATGGTGTAACACATAAAGAGCAAATAAACCACAATAACCTCGATAAACAGCAGCTAGGAGACGGCCTTATGATGAAAGAAACTCTCACACTGACGTCACCAGCCACATCAAAACTGCATTCGGCCTCATAAGTTAAAAACGTAAGTTGGCATCTGAGGACTTTTGAACAACCAGTAAAATCTTAAACTGCAGTCTAAAGCTAACCAGTACGAGGTAAAGGTTGTGCAGCAGCACTTTGGTTTAGCTGAAGCCCACGATGTGATGGAAATGAAAGGTGATGAACTTGTGAATGTAGGAGGTGTTGTCTTCACTATTCTCAGTACAACAGTTTATACACAGTTTAAAAAATAAAAGATCTTCATTCTGTAAAAACAGATGATCTCAGTGTCTTTTTTTTAATCTTAGTTATTCTGATTTGATTTAATACAAGTGGGCTGACTGGAGTACACTAAGCGTCACACAAGACTTTGTCATGATGCCCCTTTACAAACCAAAACCTAACAATGCTCTGTGCTTACCAACATGTAACTACCTGCCTCCTCTGTTCGTGATCAGGTGCTACAGTACATCTACAATACTTAACATGTGCATTATGTAAGAAAATAGGATTGGCGGAAACTAAATTTTAAATGACTTGGATGGAATCAGTTGCAAAATAAAAGTTGGTCAAGACATAACGACTGTGAAGCAGAAATAAAGCTCTTCTCGGTCTTTTTTTTATTTTTTATCCTGGTTGATTCCGATTAGATTTAACACAAGTGGGCTGACAGGACTATACTAAGCGTAACAGAAGACGTCATGGTGCCCCTTTACGAACCAAAACCCAACAATGCTCTGTGCTTGCCAACATGGAACTACCTGCCTCCTCTGGTTGCTACAGTCGTAAACAGTAAGAAGCTCCACCCCACCTGGTGGTGCAACCAGGTACAATCTACTTTACTAATAGCCTGTGGAGAAATGGTATTGGCAGATACTAAATAATTAATGAATTGGATCAAATTGAAAACAAAACTAACCTTGATCAGGACATCCCTACAATCAAGCAGAAAAACAAATCATCAGGGTTTCTTTTTTTTATCCTGGTTGATTACGGTTTAATTTAACCGTAATCATTTAACATTAGTGCGCTAGCTTGAACTCACTAAGCCTCAAAGAAGACCCTTTATGAGCCAAAATCCAACAATGCTTGCAAACATGATCGACACATGATCAGGACATACCTTCAGGCAAGCAGAAAAGCAGATTACCTCAGTGTCTTTTTTTATCCTCTTTGATTTTGATTTGATTTAACACAAGTGGGCTGACAGGAGTATACTAAGCGTACTAGAAGACTTTGTCATGGTACCCCTTTACGAACCAAAACCCCACAATGCTCTGTGCTTGTCTCCTCTGGTCACTACAGTACTAAACAGTAAGAGGCTCCACCTGGTGGTGCAATCAGGTACTACAGCTGATCTACAACACCGAAAGAAAATGACATTGGCAGATGCTAAATATTAAACGGCTTGGATCGAATCGGGGGACAAATAAAACTTGACATCCCAACAGTCGAGCAGAAAAACAGATCACCTCAGTGTGTGAGAAGCACCGATAACAACCACATTAATGTCTGTGCACACTGATCTGAGATCAGCCCTTTGGAGAGATGACCACTGTTTCCTCTGCTCTCGTCCTCCTCCTCACCTCTCAGTCTGTTTCTTTCTGTTACTGCACAAGATCAAGACCCTGATAACAGCCTGTTATCACTTGTTCAGCCTGAAGCCTCATTCAGACCAGATCTCTGTGTGCAGGAGGAGGAGGTGCGATTGTAACATCTCCAGCTCCGGTCAGAGGGTTTTATTCAATCCAGAGCATCTGTCCAGTCCGTTTTGTGACGTGTGTGGTTATGATTCAGTCATAATGTTAATACAGCAACACAGAAGAGCTGTAATAAACATCAATAACTGTGTGTTTGTGAGTTTAAAGACTTTAAATTACAGTCAGTGCATCACCATAAACGCTGTTGAGGTGTTGGTCCCAACAAAACTGACTCATGTTTTGAAAAATGTCAACTTGTCTCTTTAAGAACTGAGTCCATGCATGTTTCCCCACAAGCCATCATGATATCATTAGTGAAATCCACTCCTTCTGATGAGTGTGCAAGTAGAGATTTTGAAAATAAATCAACAATTAAGTCGATATTAGTCCGTGAAGAGTCTGACTTGACTGGCATGTGTGGTTTGGACGAGCTGTGCACATTTGGGTATATTTCAGCTGTAAATTAGGAGGAAAAAAAATAGCCACGGAAAGAGGAGAAATAACCGATTTAATAAGCTGGTGAACGCTGCCAACCCGGGTGTCAGAACGAGGTCAGTCTCTGGTGTGACAAAAATAAAATTTTACAATCACACATTGTAAGTTTCGCTCTCGTATGTCGTAAAACGTTCCCATGGTGGAGCTGGTTGTCATTAAGGAGAGCAGCAGCGACACCCTCGAGCCGATATCGATCCGATTAAACACGTCTGGATCAGATTTAAACAGCTTTTCTCACATTTGCAGTAGAACACAGTGATGTGGGGAAAAAACAGCTGCACTGTGTTTAGATCTCCAGTTTTCTGAAGAGATGCAAATGCTGTTTTTCGTTTTTAATCTTCCTCCTTCTTCTGTGCGTATCTGGATTTTCTGTTAGCTTTGCTTGATTTGTCTCTCTGGAACTCCTGAACTTCCAACAAACTCCCACTTGTATGGTTTAACTTTCTGATGTTGGCTGGATGTGTGAAAGCCGTGCAAAGGTGATGAACGTGTGCCTAAACGTCCACACATCAAATGACTGGAAGTAAAACAATAAGAGGAAGAGAGGAAGGTACCTGAGACCAGCTGCTGCCCGCTGATGCCCACCGGCATGATGCCCAGGTTGTTCATGGCCGTGGCCCAGGCTCCATGATCGGCCACCGGGACGCTCAGGTGGTTCTGCTCAGCACCCAGACTTCCTACACCATCAGCTGCTGCACCGGAGAAACCAAACGCACATCAGAGACAACTTCTGAAACTCAGATCTTATCATACTGGCCTAAATACAGGTTTGGGTGTTTGTAGCTGGACTTCTCCAAACCCAGAAACCTGCTGTTGGCTTTGAAA